AAAGGAGGAATTTGGGATGCTTTGAACTCTTCCTGCTCTTCCAGATAACAAATTCATCTTGCAGTTTTGTTCTCCACCACCTGTAACCATCTGCCATGTTGCTGAGAGGGTGTGGACATGGACACAGCTGGTTACACCTGATAGCAACACTGTGCTCTTATTTTACTGCTCACAAACAGAGAAAATATGAATTTACATGGAGTTATTAAAGCACCCCAGCTCCTTCATTTCAATCTGCTGTCCTGGGAATTCTGGGAAGGAAATCCACCTTAACTGGTTAAAAAATACATACCCAGGTTTATGTTTCTCACTGTAATGAGAGAACTGAGAACCAATCCTGTGACTCAACCTCCTCCCTCACCCTCTCACTGTGATTTCTCACTCCCCCAACTCCTGTTTTCTCTACAAACCACCCCAAAACCAAGTCAATATTTTCTTCTCACTGACAAGACACCCCCCAGGAAGGTCTGTGTGGCCAGTGACTGCTGGGAGCTTGGAGAACACACCAGGAGACCCCCAAAGCACCTGGGACTGCCCAAATTTAGGGCCATTTCCTGCCTGACCTTGGAATATTCCCACAAAAAAAGCTGATACTGGATCCTCTGGAGCAGATCCTGGCCCAAAACACCGCTGGAGACTCCAAACAATGATGGAAATCCTGATTCACAGTTAGAGTTTGAAAATATCCCCCACTTTGAAGCCTTTTCTTTGACCAGGGATGCCCTAAATCAGCGTCTAAGAGAGAAGATGAGAGCAGGACAGGGAAGGAAATGAAGGCAGGGCACTAAATAATACCCAGCAGCCATCCCTTGGAACACCCCTGCTGTGAAAAAACCATGGAAATCTGCCTTCCTGGTTGGTATTCCATGTTGTAGAGGAGGATGCCAGGGAAAACAGAGGCATTTTGAACACACTTGGGAAGGAAAAAAAGGGTTCAGCAACGAGGTCACGAAGGGGAAGGATAATCCCTGCAGCAAATCAATACACAAACCCCCTCCTGAATAAGCTGGCAGAGTGAAAAGGTTCAGACCTGGATAGCCTTGGCAAGAAAGGAGGTAAAACACAGAGAATTTTGTGGATGTTAAAGGTGAAATTGAGGTCTGGACACCCAAACTGAGTTATCTCTGCTCCTGCTTGGTGTCGATGCTGCCACCCCACCCTGCCAGGGGCACAGGGAGCGACCCAGCTGAGCTGCCTGTGCTGGCAGAGTTAAGAGGAGCTGTTCCCTGCTCCAGGAGAAAAAGCAGACCGAGGGTGAAGGGGAGACAATTCTGGATGCTAAAATAGAACAACAGGACAGAAACCTCCCAGCAGCAGAGGAGCACTTTGAATTTCTAATGCCACCCTCGTGCTCGGTGATTTATTCTCTATTACCACCTTGATACCTTTAACGTGTCATTTTGCCAGAGACAAGACAGAAAGTTTTCCTGTCCCCATTTCCTCCTGTCACTCACCTGATCCTATAAAAGCTGCCTCTCTATTCCCATTTTCCCTCTTTAAGATATCAGATGATGCTTAAACGTGCTGCTCGCTGGCAAGGGAATGAACACCCCATTCACAACCCCCTCTCCCCCAGGTCTGAGAGGACACCAACTGTTCCCAAATTTGACTCCAGGTCAAGGTTTACACTCTGAACTTTGCACTGGGTGCTCCAAAGTCATTTTCCTACACCTTGGCTACACCAGGTTTGCACCCCCAACACAGGAGGTTGAGGAGTAGCAGCACGGACTGGCTGGAGTGGATGAGACGAGGCACATAGAAGGAAAAAAGTCAGGATTATTTATATTTTATGTCATTTTATATTTATATTATATAAAGAAAAGCCAGGAGAATCTTATAAACTTGACAGGATCCTGATGGAGATGCTGGGTTTGGAGCAGGAAGGAAAGAAGGCAGATTTGATTCCAACCAAAACGCTGCTGCTCTGTTCCATTAACCCACCACACCAAGCACAGCTTTTCCAACCTCCCTCTAGGATTTCTCCCAGCATATTTTCCAAGCAATCCTGCCTGAATAATTGTGACTCCTAAACCTTTCAGCACGCTCCCTTTTCTGCCCTATTCATATCTCAGGATAAGCCTCAGCAAATCAGCCTCTCCCTCTGCACCGTGATAAGGAGTTGGGCACTTGCAGCACTTCCACTGGAAGCAGAAGTGATGGATAGCTGGGAATTACCTGCAGATTGCATCGTATTTTACTCAGTTCTGGGTTAAGATTAGACAACAAGCCCAGAGTTATGACAGCACAGCCCATGGGAGACAGGAGATTGTTAACAGGACTGCTGCTAAAAATACAGCTCAAACCACAGAAAGATCTTCCTCCAGGACTGCAGCTTTTCAGAGAATCAGGGAATGCTTTGGGTGGGAAAGGACCTTAAAGACCATCCAGTGCCACCCCCTGCCATGGGCAGGGACACCTTCCACCAGCCCAGGTTGCTCCAACCTGGCCTTGGACACTTCCAGGGATCCAGGGGCAGCCACAGCTTCTCTGCCCAACCTGGGCCAGGGCCTCCTCACCCTCATAGCCAACAATTCCTTCCCAATATCCCATTTAAATCTTCACTTTTCCAATTTGAAGCCATTCCCTGTGTGCTGTCCCTCCATGCCTTGTCCCCAGTCCCTCTCCAGCTCTCCTGGAGCCCCTTTAGGCCCTGCCAGGGGCTCTCAGGTCTCCCTGGAGCCTTCTCTTCTCCAGGGGAACCCCCCCAGCTCTCCCAGCCTGGCTCCAGAGCATCCAAGACCATTTCATTCCAAAACCATCTCATTCCAAAACTCTGCCATGGGCAGGGACAACTTCCACAAGCTCCATCCAACCTGGCCTTGAACGCTTCCAGGGATGGGGAATCCCATTAATTAATCAATCATTAACTACTCAAGAGAGCTTTGCTTGGCTTTATTGAAGATCTGTGTTAAAAACCCCAACCCTGCAAGCTCTAAAATGACATCAGATAACACCAAAAAGGCAAGGAAATTTTTGGGGTGGACTTTTATTTCTGGAGACAGCTTGTATTAATATATTTAATTACGGCCCAGCAAAGATTTAAAAAACTCTTGCCTCAAGATTTACAGATCTTTCTAAGAGGAGAGGAAGGGAACAGCAGAGATCTATGAACTACAAGATAGAGGCAGCAGATAAAAAGAAAGGAGCAAGATAAATAACAGCCTGGAAAACACCCCCCTGACGAACTGCCTGTCAAACAGCCACACGTGGAAATTGAATTTAGACTTAAACATGCCAATATGTTGCTTTTTTCCCCCTCCTTAAAACATGCATCACGCTGGAAGCAATTTACAGGCACATCCCTCACTCAGGCCACTGCTCCAACGTTTTTAACAGGTATTTACTCCTCAGTCTGTACTCCTTGTACATTCCCAGATAACATTTAACCCCTGGAGCCGTGGGGAATGTTATGCTGACTCCAGCTTAGCTTCCTGCCAAGAAAAAAAAAAAAAAAAAAAAACCAGCCACCCCAGTAAAAATTTATCTCCCCTCAGAGGATACAGCCAAGCTCAAAGACTTCCATTATTCCCAAGATGAAGGGTTATCTGTTGGCAAAGCAATGATTTTATTATGCAGCGAGTTCAGCGGTGAGAGCGAAAACCGCGCGGAGCAGAAAAGAGGGAGAGGAGTCATCAGACACCATCCCGCTTTATTCCAGGAGGGAACAGCCTCAGATGGAATAAATTCACATCATTCACACCACTGCACTCGCAAAAGCACAACCAGCCACGGAGCTGCAGGGAAAACGGGCGCTTGCAAAGAATTCCAGAGCTGCGGAAGTTCATCCCCCAAATCCCCTGGGATCGACTTCCACGCGGCAATAAAAGCACAGGGCGGCAGCTGGGTGGCTGCAGATGCCAAGGGCTTCGTGCCAGCAGGACAGCTGGGAGCAAAAACTACGGGAATGGGCAGATTTCACCCCAAAAATCCCACCACATTCCTTAGGGAACCTGGCCTCGTACAGTTATACATAGGAAGTGCACATGGATTCACTTGAGTCACGCCTGGCTCCTCTTACTTTGCACAGAAATAAACGGATTAACACCAGGAAAGCTCCAAAAAACCAATTCCAGGTGCAGCCCAGCCCAACCCAACACGAGACAAGGCTCTCCTTCCCTGGTTTTAGCGCTTGGAAACTCCCAGGAACGTGGAGCTGTCTGCCTTGTGCTTCTCCACAAAGGCAGAAATCAAAAATATTAGCTGAAATCTCTTTAAGATTTCAGCTTTAATCCCAAGAAATGGGGGCACACTCTGCGTGTCACAGCGTGTTTGCCACCCAAACCCGGTCACCCCGAGTGCCCTGGGTGCAACAGGAACTCAGGTTCCACTGGAAAGCAAGGAAAGAAGGTGGTGAAAACAGCAAATTAGGGATAAAGAAGGAGCAGCCAGATTTTGGAGGGTGCAGAGCACAAATTTTGCTTCCCATGCAGCAAACAACAACAGCAAGTCTGATCTGCACCAGGGGTAGGCGAAGAGGAGAAAAGCTTTGGCTCTAAAATCTGCCTTTTTAAGCAGTAAACTACACTCTTCCAAATCCTGGGTGGCTTCTCCCACCTTTTTTTCTCCTGTTCTCAACCTTCCCAGGAGGGGGAAAAAAAAAAAAAACAAACCAAACCCAACCACACAAAATCTTTCAAGAAGGTTTAATTCGAAAAAAAAAGAAAAAAGGGATTTGACTTCTTTATTTTAGAGCGAATCTTCCTATTTTCTGTTTCCTCCCTCGAAAACAGATGCAAAGAACCTCCTGATTTAAGTGGGTTTGTATTTCTGCTGTCCAGAAACACCAGCTCTGGGGGTTCAGGACACTGGGAATTCACCAAGTGCAGCCATCAGGCCACCGAAATAACACCATTTGTCACCAAAATCACAATCAAAATCACACCAAAGCCCTAAAAAGCAGCATTTCTAGATCAGTGGAGCTCTGCCTTGAACATGTGAATCAAAGGGAGGGAGGACAACTACAAAAGTGGCATTAAAGGAGCAGGATTTGACATTCCAACCTCTCTCCGTCGTGACGCCCAACAACTCTGTTTGATCTTCCACACCACAGCTGCCACCAGGAGCAAGGACAGGAAACAGCTGGAAAGGGAAATAGAAAAAAAAAGAGAGGGATGTTTTAGGTTTCTTCTCTGTGATTAAAAAAAACCACAAACAAACGCTGTAGGAAATAAAAGAAAAATTGGATGGAAAAAGTTCATATAATAATATTAGGGATGTTATTGATGGGAGATGATCCAGCACAGCCAGGGGGGAATGACACAGCTATTTCCAGGGAAAAACTCCTGTTCCAAAGTTCCCTGTGTGACTTCCTTAGATGACATTCCCCAGTTTTCCCCGGGAAGTCACAACTGAAAGATTCAATCAGGTTGGAAAAGCCACTTATTGCCTCTCCCTGGTGATGTTTAAACCTCAAAAAAGAAAAGCCTTGAAAGCAGCAGAGAAAATCGATCATTATCCTTCTTTTCCAAATGACAAAAATAAGATAAAGTGCAGAGCAGTGGAATTCTTTCAAACAGGCTAGTGCAGATCCACGGGCCTTGCTTGATTGCCCCCACATCTATGTTGGTTTTCTTCAATCAAAAGAAGGGAAAAAAGGATGAATGGATTTATCAACTTCTGGGGGAAATGCAAGGAAGCAGATTTACCAGAAAGCAGTCATAATAATGGCAATAAAAGCTGACTTTATTGACAGTTATGATCTTATCACTCTGAATACCTAATGAGCAACTTCAAGGCGCACAGGCAAAGATTAAAATCCAAATCCCCCTGGAAGCCTCTCTCCTCAAGGACTGCATAAGAGAAAACATCTCCAAACCTCCTGCCCATGTTCCAGTGTGTATTTAAAGACAGTTCAAATTTCCATTTAGAGGAAGATTAACCAGAACAGACTTATTTCCTCCACAGTGCAGGATTAACACTGATATCCAGGCTCGGGATGCTTGAACAGGACATGCTTCTCTTGAGGAGAGACTTTGCAAAGCACCACAAAGATCTTCTCACTCTCCACAAACCCCTGACAGGAGGGGGGAGCCGGGGGGGGTCGGGCTCTGCTCCCAGGGAATGAGGGACAGGAGGAGAGGGAACGGCCTCCAGCTGTGCCAGGGGAGCTTTAGGTTGGATACTGGGGAAAATTTATTCACCAAAAGGGCTGTCCAGCCCTGGCACAGCTGCCCAGGGCGGGGGTGGATCCCCATCCCTGGAGGGATTTAAAATCCCTGTGGATGTGGCACTTGGGGACAGGGGTCAGTGGTGGCCTTGGCAGTGCTGGGGGAATGGTTGGACTGGATGATCTCAGAGAGCTTTTCCAACCTTAACAATTCTGTGATTCCATGACTTTCATCAATAAAACCCAGGACAGGCAGCAGGGACCATTCCCTGAGATGTAGAAGAGGTTCCTGATGACAGATCCCTGTCCTTAATTCCATATGATGGAAACTCTGGGGATCAGGCACAGAACTCCAAGGGGCAGCCAGTTGGCAACTGCTTCAATTCTTCAGGCTTAGATATTCACAGAAATATGTTTTACTATCATACAGTGCATTATATTAAAAAATTGGCACTTGTATGACTTGTAGGGCCCTGGCACAGGTTGGGCAGAGAAGCTGTGGCTGCTCCATCCCTGGAAGTGTCCAAGGCCAGGCTGGATGGAGCTCTGAGCAACCTGGGCTAGTGGAAGGTGTTCCAATGCAGGGAGATTGAACTGGATGGGCTTTAAGGTCCCTCCCAACCCAAAGCATTCCATGATTCCCTGACTTCAGCACTGAAACATCTCCCCAGCTGGCAAAGACTCCTGCAGTGCCCAGTTCTAAATACTCAAACCTGGCATTGTTGCTCTGGAAAAGCCTGACCCTTTCCCTGCAAACACAAATTCTCCACACAAGCATTTCAATGGCTGGTTTATTTCCCTTTTTCAGAGGGGCTGGATTTTGCAGTAAAAAAAAACCAAACAATGTCCTCCCATTAACTAAAAAGCACCTTTAGTTGCTCTTTTGTTAAAGAACCCCAGAATGCCTGGAGTTTGAAGGGATCCATAAGGATCACTGAGCCCAGCTCCCTGCTCCTCCCAGGAATGTGCTTTATCCACGATTGGGGATTTGATCCCTTCAGCTTTCCCTTTCTTTCAGCACTGCCCACACCACCTGGGAACAGTATTTCTCTCTGGGAGCAGGTCACGCTTGGATTAGATGGATTTTCACTTCTCCCCCACTTGAATGATGGACTGGAGAAATGTTTGAGGGTGTTTTTCTTGGGATTCACAAAACCATGGAATGGTTTGGGCTGGAAGGGCTCTTTCAAGACCATCTCATTCCACCCCCTGCCATGGGCAGGGACACCTTCCACTAGCCCAGGTTGCTCCAAGCCCTGTCCAACCTGGCCTTGGACACTTCCAGGGATAGAGAGTTAAATTCCCATTACCTTCCCACAGCCACAACACTTAATGGCTTTGTGAAGCTTTTTTTTTATTCTTTTAAGGACACTTTTCCTTCAAGAAACCCAAAGTGCTCCCTGAAGAGCAAAAACCCAAACTGTACCAACTCAATCTTTGCTCTGCTCTGTTTTCAGGAACATTTCAATGTTTTAATACAAATGGAGGGTGGAAATAAAAACTTCCAAGGCAGCGGAGGGAAAAGTGTTCCTGGCTCTGCCTTTAATTTAACCACGGAAAACAAACACATCCAAAACATCTGCAGGAGTCCCCAGGCCAGGCTGCCAAAGCCAACCCCTGCCAGGTGACTGCCCTCACCTCCTGACTCCAGAGACAACACCCACCTCAGGATAAAGCATTTAAACTGCCAGAGGGCAGGGATAGATGGGATACTGGGAAGGAATTGTTGGCTGGGAGGGTGAGGAGGCCCTGGAGTGGATTTGCCAGAGAAGCTGTGGCTGCCCCTGGATCCCTGGAAGTGTCCAAGGCCAGGTTGGAGCAACCTGGGCTGGTGGAAGGTGTCCCTGCCCATGGCAGGGGGTGGAACGAGGTGATCTTTAAGGTCTTTTCCAACCCAAACCATTCCATGATCTGTGAATTTAGTGCTGCTCACTGGCAGCACCTGTGGCTTTTCCATCTCTGCAACCTCAAAACACCTTTATCTGGGGAAAGGAGATGGAAGTCCCGAGGGCAGAGGAGAAAGGGCAGGTGTTTCATCATTCTCATGGAATCCTTTAGGTTGGAAAAGCCCTCTGAGATCATCCAGTCCAACCATTCCCTAACACTGCCAAGGCCACCACTGCCCCCATGTCCCCAGGTGCCACACGTACCCAGTGTTTTCCTCAGGGAGAAAAGCTGGAGTGGAGAACTAAGAGAGGAACTTTATCCCTACATTAAATCCCCTTTCCAAAAGGCAACACTGCACAAGTCTGGGTGTGCCAGAGCCTTCCAGGGGGTTTCCCTTTCCTGCCTCCCTTCTGGCAGCACAGCCAAGACTTTCTGAGGAGAACACAGGGAGGAATTAACAATTAAAGACCAATAAAAACTGCTCCTCAAACGCTCCCCACAGCACCCTGCATTTCACAGGAGCAGCACCACACATCTTTGTACTGTCACAAGGAGGCAGCAAATACCCACAAAAGCCATAAAACCACTGAGGAAATCCATCTCCCCCCCCCTGCACCAACACCCCCTGGAAGCACTGGTGGAGAAATAAAAGGCAGTGCCTGCTGCAGTCCATCACCTGCTGGAGGAGCCCCGGGGGAAGAGCCCAGCCAAGATCTATCTGTTGGGTTTACTCAGCCTAAACCGCCCTCAAATAAGTTTAAAAGACCTGATTTGAGCATCAGTAGCTTCAAAGAAGCTTTTTTTCCCTCCATACTTTGGCTTGGAAGGCAACTGTGCTACGATGGAAGCAGAGGGGGAAAACGGCTGCATGGAGTGAGAGCCGTGCTGGAAAATGGTCTGGAGTGAGAGCCATGAAAATCCAGCCATTCCCAGATGGCTTGGAAAATAAACCTTCCCTGCAGGGATTTGCTTGGCCCTCTCCCTCTCGTTCTCCGCCCTCCAAAAATGAGGGACTGCCAAGAGCTCCCTTCATCCCTCAGATCCACTGATGGATCAGCCAAGACTTCTCCCTGCAGCTCCCCCCATTTCAAATGCTTCCAGGGAGACCTGAGAGTCTCTTCCAGTGCCTAAAGGGGCTCCAGGAGAGCTGGAGAGGGACTGGGGACAAGGCATGGAGGGACAGCACACAGGGAATGGCTTCAGAGTGGAAAAGGGGAGATTTAGATGGGATATTGGGAAGGAATTCCTGGCTGGGAAGGTGGGGAGGCCCTGGCCCAGGTTGGACAGAGAAGCTGTGGCTGCCCCTGGATCCCTGGAAGTGTCCAAGGCCAGGTTGGAGCAACCTGGGCTGGTGGAAGGTGTCCCTGCCCATGGCAGGGGGTGGGACTGAGATCATCTTTAAGGTCCCTTCCAACCCAAACCATCCCAGGAGTCCATGAAACTGAGCTTCCAGTGGCTTGCACAGTTATAAAAATCCATGCTTACCCAGCCTAAATACTGCAGTGCAGGGAAGAGATACATTTACATTTTATGGACAATATTCTATTTGCTAAATGGCTTCATTAAGTCATCCTTAATTATTCATTAAGTTATTTAAGTACAACAAACGAGCAATGCGGTCATAAATAATCTCCCCTCAATTGGCCTCAGCAAATGCATTAAACTTTTCCTTGCTGAGCCTTCAGTGCTGGTTATACCTCGGGCTTTTCCCACCCTGACACAAAAATCCAGACTTAAACCCCCTGTCTTGGTTTTCTTCTGGACTTTAATCTCCTTTTCACAGCAAAGAGGATCCTCTCCCCACTCCAGGTATCCTTAAAGCCCTTCCAACGAGCCCACCCTCATTTTCAAAGCTCTGGAAAACTCCATCAAAGTGCTTTGCTGCGATGGATTCCTCCCGAGGAGAGGAGAAAAATCCATCCTGTGTATTAAGGCCCAATTATTAAACTCTCCTGCAGTGTTTATCAACATCAGAACTGCCTGTAAAGAAATGGCAGCTTTAAACACCCAAATGTACAGCAGCCTTCCCTCCTAATGTGCTTTAACATACACAGGTCACTTAATAATGTCAGAAAGCCCTGCCATG